CCATTATTAAATGAATAAAACATGAATAAAACAAAACTAAGGAAACACAATTTCTTGTAGATATAAATGATTGACTAATTTGTTGCATTTTCAATTTCAAAAATAAATAAATTGATATTTTATTTATATTTATTTCATTATTTTTTTAAATATTTTTTTCTTATTTATTTACTATGTATTTATTTCGCTGTAATCTGTTTTATTCATTAAATACTGGTTTGACTTTTACCATTTGTAAGAAAAAAGTCAGCAGGGGGTATTGGCGCATTTTAGAATATTTTAGTGTTTAAAACCAATACATAATTGATTTAAATAGTAAGTAAATTAAAAAAAACTTATTAACTGCATGTATTAAATCATCATTAAAACAATGTTTTTATTTTTTAAATTGACGGGCAAGAGAACTAAATAATCATATACCCGAACATTTGATTTGTTTGGCATATTCTATGTAAACTGATTTACGATAAATATGTGTCAAAGTATTTTTGAAGCATATTAAATCTGCTTTTAATTATTTTACTCCCATGATGGATATCAAAATAATCGTCTCATTATGCACAATCTTTACCCGTCAATAGGTTCTTTGATACTTTTATTTTGTTTTGATGAAAAAAAAATTAAGTTCTCTTACAAAGAGAAAATGTTATTTCAGATAGTTGCAAACTGTACACGGTCACTCTGAACACAACATAAACAAGGTATAGCGGTCAGCGAGAAAGACAATAGGTGTCATAACTGTGTACTGTGTACCCCGAGTTAATTACTGGTAAACATCAATGGCTTTGATGTTCTTTCAGAATCGTGTTACGGTTTTGAAAACCGATTTTTTTTTTCAATCAAATCAATGTATCAAAAATCAAATTGACAGATTAATATTGTGCATAATGAGACGATTATTTTGATATCCATCATGTACTTAAAATAATAAAAAAGCGTTTTAATACGCTAATAAAATACTTTGTAGCACATCTACGGATGCAAGTGTTTATATGAAATAAAACTAAAGAAATACAATTTCTTGCAGATATAAATGATTCATTAATCTGTTGTATTTTTAATTTCAAACATAAATAGATTGATATTTTATTAATAATGTTTTTTATTATTATTCATTTATTTTATTTTATTTATTTACTATGAATTTATTTTGCTGCAATCTGTTTTATTCGTTAAATACTGGTTTGACTTTGTACCATTTGTCAAAAAAAAAAAAAAAAAAAAAAAAAAAAGGGAAGAAAAAAGAAAAAAAAGTAAGAGACAGCAGGGGGTATTGGTGCATTTTGGAATAATTCAATTTTTAAAATCGATAGAATGAATGATTTTAAATAGTTAGTAAACTAAAAAAAATAAATAAATAAATAAACCTTATTAACTGCATGTATTTATTTATTATAAAAACAATCTTTTTTTATTTTTAAAATTGACGGTACAAACAAACTTAATAATCAAATACCCGAAAATGGGATTTTTGGGGCTTATTTTATGTTAAACTATTTACGAAAAAATATGTGTCAAAGTATTTTTGAAGCATATTAAATCTGCTTTTAATTATTTTACTTCCATGATGGATATCAAAATAATCGTCTCATTATGCACAATCCTTACCCGTCAATAGCTTCTTTGATACTTTTATTTTGTTTTGATTGAAAAAAAAAAATTAAGTTCTCATACAAAGGGAAAATGTTTTTTCAAACAGCTGCAAACTACACACGGTCGTCCTGCCACAACATAAACAAGGTAGAGCGGTCAATGAAAAAGATAATAGGTGTCGTGACTGTGTACCTCGAGTTAATTACTGGTAAACATCAATGGCTTTGATGTTGTTTTAGAACCGTGTTAGGGTTTTGAAAACCGATTTTTTAATCAAAACAAAGTATCAAAAGTCTAATTGACAGATTAGTATTGTGCATAACGAGACGATCATTTTGATACCCATCATGGACTTAAAGTAATAAAAAGTCGTTTAATTATGCCAATAAAATACTTTGTAGCATATTTCAGCAAATTATTAAATTAAAACTAATAAAACACATTTTGGGGATATAAATGAGTGATAAATTAAAAAATAAACAAATAAATGAATAACTTTATATAATTCTCATTATTTATTTATTTATTTATTTATTTATTTATTTATTTATTTATTCATTCATTCATTCATTCATTCATTCATTCATTCATTTATTCATTTATTCATTTATTTATTTATTTATTTATTTATTAATTCATTCATTCTTAATTTAGTCGATTTGTAGATTTATTCTCATAAGAAAATGAATGAATATACTAGTTTTTACTTTATTTAATAATTTTTATTAATTAAATAAAAATTTATTTTATTAATGCATTTATATATCATTCCTTTCAATGAATTTTTTATTCATTTAATTCTTTGGGAAAACAAAATATCCCATGCATGGATGTGATAATGTATTCCGAATTGTTTAAATCTAGTTCCTTTACAAAGACAGTTATTACGCTCAAAGATGTTTCAAAGTAGATCAAATAAAAAATGAAAGAGTTTATAAGTATACATATAAAAGGTTCATAAAGTACAATGCATATGCCGTCTACCATCACAAGATGAAATAAATTGTTGATTTATTTCTTCTTTAGAATCGATGCAATTCTCTGCCGTCCTTCACCCGAAATGCTACCGAACCAAAAAAAATCACATTGATACAAGTAAGAGAAACTAAATTACAGGGGATTAAGTTAAGGCATTTAAAAATGTGTTCATTTTTTACTAAGTCTATATTTTAGAAAAAATATACTTAAATTTTTGAAGACTATATCATTCTTCACTCTTAAATGCAACAGAAATGTTTTTTAAACTCTTTTTCTTGGCCAAAATAAATGTCAGGGGACGACAGGAAGTAGACAGGGAAGGCAGGGCCAACGACAGGGGACGACAGGGACTGGACAGGGAGATCAGAGAATGTCAGGGGACGACAGGGAGTAGACAGAGAAGGCAGGGACAACGACGGGGGACGACAGGGACTGGACAGGGAGAGCAGGGACAACGACAGGGGATCATAGGAGAAAGTCAGGGAGAGACAGGAAAATGTCAGGGACTGACAGGGGGACAACAGGGAATTTTTTGGAATCTAAGGGGATATCTAATTCAGTAGTGCCAGTGTCTGAGTAAAGAACTAACAATTTGTATGAAAAAACGTCAGTCAGTATTTGACTCAATGATAAATTGTTTTTGCTGACGAGGTCATTGTATCAACCATAAAACTTACAAATTATGACTTTAAACGAGACTGCTTTTTTTCATCAACTTGTTTAATCAATAATTTATCTTGTTTTAGAAATTGTTCATACGTAGAGCAGGTTCTTGCGTATCGAATCAACTGAGATAAATAAACTCTGTATGCAGCTTATGAAGGTATATTGCTGCATAGGTAAGGAAATTGACGATAGAAAAGTTAAGGATTTTAGATTACCATTAACGTCACACACAATACTTTGCGATTTATACCAAGTTATGCCAATACAAAACGGTTTACAAAAAATATAAATTAGAACCTGGAAATTAACACTAAAATGGACGTAAAATGAAGGAAACAAAAAGGGCAACTTAAAAGAGACCATGCATTTCCAAAAAGTTTGAATGAGACAAAATTTAATCCACCTCTCATCCTAATAAAGTCATCTCTGAAGGCGATAAACTGGGTAGATGTGAACTACCGTTATCTTTTGGATTGCAGATAATTCAAATCAAGCTAGTTCATTGCCTTATGAGACGACTTCAAAGGGTTGAGAGGTGATTAAAATATATAGATTGGTTTAATAATATGTTTAAAATGAATGAATGAAAAATTGATTCAATGTTTTTCTTTTGTTTCACGTTCTTTTTCTGAATTACCCCATAGGAATTCGTGGTCTGCGCAAAACCCCAATGGTATGTTTTCAGTACGGTCCGATGAATCGTTACCTATGAGATGAGTTGCTCTAAAATGCGATGGTCTGACATATCAAAGTCCGATGGTGTGAAGAAACGTTTATGACGTCTCAACAATCCGACATCAATCCTTGACATTGTTCTTCTAAATTCAAAAGTCATCATTTCTGAAATCGTCCTCGCACTCAGTTTTATTGATTTTGCTTATTGCTGGCACCTTCCAGATATATTAGGTTTAATTCTCGTACACCACTCGACCCATAGGCGTCGTAAGCAAACTGAAAGTGGGAGAGGGGTAATTGAAAGTTGTTAAAAAGGTAGACCCTAATTTTCAATGCCTATGTTATGTATACATATATTTGTAAAAAAGTTTTTTCAACCCCCAATCCCCCCGGTTCCGACCCCTGAGCGACCGATTAGTGTTAGTTCTTCCTTCACACCAACCAGAGGGTTAGTCCCTGCACACTATTCGAGTAAGTAGCGTTAGTCTCGCATCCATCCAAGATATCTAGTTTATAGTTGTTACACACTTTTCGAAAGATAAGTGTTATTTTCGAAACCATCCGAGAGATTAGGGTTAGTTTTAACATTAAGATTTTTTTTACGAATTTGGCAGGTCGAGGCATTGTAGTGTGGCGCAGTAGCACTATGACGTCATAAATGTTAATTGTTTGCACCCTCAGGCTCATAACATTGGGGTTTGGCAAGACCATTGTACTTTGGCATGACCATCAGACTTTGGAGACCCATCGCACTTTGGAGTCCTACATATATATAACGCTACTGTGATGCAACTAATTTTGTATTCTCTTTACCATATTTACCAAGTGAAATATTCTTGTAAAAATGAAAATGATCCTATCCTGAAGAGAAACTTTAGATACATACTGATAGGTTTCTGTTTCATATTAACTTTTATACACACTATCCTTGAGTAATGAAGTTAAATATTTAAAATGACAAATTTTAATTGCAAGCATGCACAAAAATATCAATTTGATTACTTAAATATATCATTAATGTTTGTAGTTCCAACGGCAGATGAGGTGATTTCCAGCGACGCAATATTTGTAGTCTGTTTCAAATGGGATCACTTCTGATACTTTATTTTCTTCACCTGTCTATTTCTATTTTGAGCAATAAACAAATTGTCATTTGAATCTATACACAGTCCAAAGGGTTCACTCAGTCCACAGTCTATGTAACGGAGGAACTGTCCATCCTGGTCTATGATGTGGATACAGTCATTGTGATAATCAGCGGTAAGGATGTGACTCTGACTGTCTGTGGTGATTCCATGTGGACAGAATGGTTTGTTCCTTGGAGCAGGAGTATGTCCAGTGTAACTGAATCGCAGTTTCCCAGCCTGATTGACCACCACTACTCCTTTAACTCCCTGATCAGACACGCAGATATTTAGGTTCCTGTTCTCAGTTATGTGTCTAGTAAAACAGCCAGTTGAATAGAGAGGATTCCCTTTATCATCAAATTGAATGGTTTGCTTCTCTGTGGAGCCAGAGTAACAGACAACTTTTGTTTGTTTGTCATCATCAGTGCTCATGATAAGCAGGAGGTCACCAGAAGAGGTACTACAGACAGTGCGAGGTCTCCAGTTCTGTAGTCTGATCACCTCCTCTATCTTCTCATTCTTCACAATGTTCACAGTTCCATCTTTGTTATCAGTATAAACTAGATTTCCACTTTTTGTCACTGCTATGTCCCCTGCCAAAATCCCTGACTTGGTTCTGATTGACTTTAGTAGTGATCCCTGATTGATACTGTAGAGTTTCATGGTGTTCTCATTTCCATGTGTCCAGATTTCTTCGTCACTCAGACAGGCCACATTGCATAGGTAATCTTTAAATCGAGTATATATTGTGGTGACAATCTCTGGTTGATCAAGCAGCTGTTTGACAGGAGGAGAGGATCCAGCTTCTGTTAACTTCTCTTGTAAAGGAGATAAGGTAGCTCCGAACAATCCCTGTGCTGTTTTTATATTGTCACCTTGGGTATTAGGTGATATTGTTGTTGCGACTATTTTTCCAAAAATATGCTCCTGTACGGAGAATGGTAAAAATTGTGGCATGGTAGTGTTTAATTTAGGGGGAAGTATCCTGTATTTGTTAAAGTCTAATTGGAAGTTTAACAATTTGAAAATATCTGTAGAATCTATCAACTTTTGCATAGAAATAATATCTTCATTTAATTTAGAGGTGCACGTATGTACATTTGACAAATGTGATTTAAGAATTTCATTATGTTTGTGTTTCATCTCTTCAACTTCAGCTCTCAGTTTCTTGACAAGTTTGTCAATTTCTCTGTGCCAGTCCTCTCCATGTTTTGTTATGGCTATTAAGAGTTCCTCATGTTGCACATTTAGTTGGCTCATTGTGTTTTGTACATCAGAGGCAATGTCCAGGTACGCTTGATGGATGGATCCCTCCAATTCATTAATTTCTGTTTGGATTTCTGCTTTCTTTTTGGCAAGAATGCGATTTATTAAGTGGACATTATGTTCTTTGTGTTTTCTGGAGGCAATACAAGCGGAGCAAACCGGAATATCGCATTCCTTGCAGTGCAACTCACAGCTGTAATCTGAGTGAAGTTCACATCGAGGGTAGAGGAGAGTAGATTCCCTGTCCTGAAATTTGACGACTTTGTGATCTTTATATTCACCTGTTGAGATGTGTTCTCCCACACAGACCTTACACAGGTTGACAAGGCATATATCGCAGTGCATCTGTACCTTAGCGGTCTCACACATGTCACATCGCATCACATCCTTGCCAATGGTAAGGGGGTCCATGGTTTGGAATTTTTACACTAAAGTGAATACAGTACACCAGGTTACAGTTGATATCTAGTTTTTAAAAAAAGTTGTACTTTTGCATTACAGACTTCACTGTTGCATTGCTGATAGGAAATCAGACCAAAGACACTTATATCAGTGATTGTGACTTTAAAAAATATTAGTTTATGTTTAATTTGAGATCTATAAATAAGAAATCTTTGTAAATGTGCTCTAAAAATATTTAATTAAAAAGTTGAAGAACTCATTGGGTATGAATGATACATTGTACGTTTCCCAACACCTTTGTGCCTGATAAGTTTGTAATTTAACAATAAAATCTTATTTAGTATCTTAATAGTGAAACGAGTGGAGGGGGTGTCATATTAATTCAGTAAGATGTAACGGGTGACATTTTTTGGGGAGGCATATCGACTGTTTAACAAAAAAATTATAGTTACTGTTTGTGTAAATTTTTGGAAAAAATAGATATGACGAAAAAATGTATAAAATATCAATTTTGTGAAATAGTACAGTCATTTACCTTTTTAGTAATGGCTACCGCGTGTCCTTGTTATACTCTGATCACGTATCAAACTGGTTTTCTACCTGGTGTTTATACATCAACAACTGGAAGCTAAGGACATTTAAATATTCTGCAGACTGTGTGTCCTATACTGTCACCCCCTGTTTCATCGCATTACAAAATACCGGTAGAGTGTTCAATAGCTTGCTGAATAGCTAAATAAGGAACTGTAAATTCACATATTTTCGTGGGGTCAAATTTTCGTGGTAATAGTAAAAACCCTTGGTTCGCGGAGATTTGAATTCGTGGATGTAGAATTGTTGAGAAGGTGTGCATGTAACATATTATATTTCGTGGTAGACTTGAATTCGTGTCTCTTTATACCACGAAAATAACGAAAATTTAACCCCACAAAAATTTGTGATTTTGTAGTATTCAATTTGGTTTGATTTAAACATAATTTATTGAAACATAATCAATATGATTGGACACAAGTTATGCCAACTCAGAATGCCCTCTTCAACACACAAAAAAAAAAAAACATTTATATACACGTGATAAACAACAAACAAATCTACAAGACAAAAAAGAAGAAACGTGAGCAGAGAGTAAGAAAGGAAGGGAGTAAGAGTGGAAGGAAAGATGAAAGAAGGAAGGTGATGTAAATGATGCAGAATGATAAAGCTGGTTGTTCAAAAAATCTTTTAGAATTTTTAATATACATTGTACTTAGGTACAGCTTTAACAACATTGATAATATTTTGTTGACCCAAGTTTGGGTCCCCCATAGGGATTTTGACAATTTCTATTTCTCTATATATACTCCTTATTTTTCATATTATGAAATAATTCTGTTCTTATTTCAGTATAATTTTTACAATAGAGGAAGAAATGCTCAGTGTTTTTATTGATATATCCATAAGAACACTGGGCACTGTCTGAAAGTCTAAACTTATACAGATCTGACTTTAGAAGGCTTACATAATATCTCATTCTGGTTAAATTTGAATTTGTTACTTTTGGGGGGATTCACCTTTAAGGCCGGTATACACGATGAGATTTGTAGTATAATGCAAGTATTTTAATACTTTTGTATTATTATATTTTCTTGTACACACGCTAATACATATCTTATAAGATTGTAAATAAACTATTATTCCCACGTGTTTTCTCCTGCCAGATTTCTCTCTCTGTCAGAATAATAAAAACGATAATAATAAGCTCTGCTTCTAGCATCTTTTTTTTGTGGTAGGTACAGCTTGAAATATTTCACAAGTCCTCTTCCTCTTCCTATAAAACCACGAGTTTTTCGATATCTTTACTCGAAAAGTCGGCCATTATCATTTACCGTGTGCTTTATTTAGTAATGATATAAATAGGATGATCCCCAATGTGAGTACATTTAATTGGTTGACTGTGAAAGGTGAGTTAAGACTTGTATTAGGAAAAAGAGCATTGCTCTATTCTTAATACAGTTTTATAAGATTCGAAAAATCTTATGATACACTGTATTAAGGGGGATGTACAAGCCATATTGGATCTAGTCTAGTGTGAAATAAGAAATACCAAGAATGCGCTTAATACTCTACTAAACTAGCCCAAAGTTACTCAAAGTGCTAATGCACTAATTACATACTGTTAGAGACCAAAATTAGTAAATAATTATGTTTATTTTGTTTTAATTAGGAGGAAATTAATCATGTTAGAACTGCGCAGCTACAGCATTCACGAGATGAAAAATGCTTTGAAAATGGTGTTAGTTTGATTCATTGATAATATGGCTACAACCATTTGTTTCGCTTTTTTCTTGTCATTATCCATAATTCTTGAAAATTTGATTTTTCATATGGGTGTCTTCTTGAGGCCATGTGTTTATTTCGTCCGCCATTCCTCTGTCACACAGAGTTCGAATAACATTGATTTTAGAATAAATGCGACCCTAATAACATCAAGACAAGAAATTACTAAGTTATAATCATTAGGTAATATTACTTACTACTTTTATTTGTTGCATCGCTTCGTCTGATTAATGAAAAAACGCGATTTTAACCCCACTCCAGCAAATCGGGAAAAACTGTTCTGTTTATAGCTCGAGTTTCCTCGTTAATATTATTACACTGAGCACGTGGTAGGCATGTGCATATATCTGCTTTGGATAGATGCGTTTATTACCATGATTATATTTAATTTTTCATGGAACAAGTCTTGATAATTTTTTGGTTTCTTTAAAACTAAAGAAAAAAGATAAAAAATGTCCTAAACATATGTGACATTTTGTGTTTACGTCGGGTCTTTTTTCTGTGGCGATAGAAGTTATTTTGAAATGGGGCACTGCAAGGAGGATGCTTAGCATTTAATTTGAAAATGTTAAACAATATGCGGTGCATGAAAAACAAAGTGTAATTACATGTCTACATTCGAAAAGTTGGTACATATGTCTATTTTGTTTAGCAGTTAGACAGAAAAAATAGGCAGTTATAGGATTTCCTTCAGGCACCTCACATAAATAGCTTGATTGTTTGCAATGACCCACACATTGTATGGAGTAATGTTTGGACATAAAAACGTATCATGTCTCATTATGTTGATAACGTTGTAAGCTCTCGCTCATTGAACATACGAAGCTTGATAAAATATATTGAGTTGTTTCTTTGAAATTTAGAAGCAAGCACAATGTTTGTAAAGAAAGGTCCATTGCATATGATATGTCTATCATCGCAAAAATGAGAGGCTACCCCCCCCCCCCCTCGAAAATCCTTGTGTTCTTTTTTCAAAATAGTGCCAAAGATTCAAAAATTTTGCATTACTAAGAGTGTGATGGAACATATACTAGCCTTATAAGACCATTTGTTATAAAAATATTTGGTTGCCCTCTCTCCCGATCTACTGCCTAGAAATGGCCCGACTCAATTTTATTTTACATCCAATTACACGATTTTTTTTCTTCCGTCAATAAATATGTCTAAATTTTTAAAGAAAAAATTTCTCACCTATAAAAACGGACCCAATAACTTTTTCCAGAGTTGGGAGGACCACCAAACGTCATTTTAAAGATGGTATAAAATATTTAATTATGTTGATTTTTTTCTTTACTCTGTAAAATTGTAATTTTGACAAAATGGGCAAATAGAAAAAAAAAGTTTTTATTCATTAAATCTCCTAACCCACTCTGAATGATTTTATTCCTTTTCAAACGTTGCTCCGCTGTAATAAAAATTGTAAATGTTTATTTGACAGAGTAATGGGGGGGGGGGGGGGGTGATCAAAAAGTAAACGATATCTTAGGTATTTGATAGTTATATTATTGTTGAAATATTCAAGTATTTTTCAAAGTTCAAATTGGAGATCTTTGGTAGCATATTGCTTAATTAAAAACACACCCCTTTTCAAACTTGCTTTCACCAGGCAACATAACAAGTATCATATTCAACCATCTGCCTTCCTTCACTAAAACGATCAATCCAATCATTGATTGAATTATTAGGAAGTCTTAATAAACTGTGAACAAATTCTTATACGCTACTTCAAAGGCATTTTTAAGATATACCATAAATATTTTAGTCGTTTGTTGAACGAGTTCCAATGAGACAACCATTTTTCGTCACAAGTACCTGCATAATGACGTCATTTTCACATTGTGAGCAAAACTTTATTCAGCATATGCTATTTATAGAACTTGTGTTTGCCCCAAATTTGTTTCTAATCTAAATTGTGGTTTTGTAGATAAAGAGATAGTTCGAGAACTTTTTGATCACCCCTCGTACTAGTAGGTAATAACACAAGGTCATTCATATCGATTTTATGTGTTTAATTTCTTTGTGTTTCATTGGTGATAATTAAACTTTTGATAGATATTATATTAAATTATCTGTGGTAAACTTACAAAATCTTAATTTTTAACTTTGATGGTGCTCATTTTTCTTTACCTGGAATCAAAGAGTTTATATCAATACGTACACTATTTAACAACTGTTCGATAATAATACTCAATAAATTACTTCAAGCCACACTATAACACATTTCCTCTTTTAAAGGTGTTCATATTATTTGAAACATTTTGCAACTCTAATTCTCTTCTACGTTTAAAGATTGTTATGTCCCTCCATATTAAGAAGAGGTCTGGAAAACAAAATTCTGTGCTAAAAATAGACCACGTGCTGCTATCAATGAACTACTTTCATGGTTCTTTACACTCTTTTTGAAGACAACGATACCTTGTTTTGAACTTGAAATTATCATTTAAAAGTGCAAAATTTAGGCATTTTCTCAACAAATGGTTGTAGAGAGAACATTAATGCACAGTTTGCGTATTTTTTTGGATTTTTTAAGGCTCTGCTGAATTTTGTAGATGCGCAGTTCTAAGGAGCATATCAAAAGCATTTTTCTGCAAAAGTATAGATTATATATGCACAACATGCATTCAGTTATGCATATTTATTGTATCTTTATCATAAAGACTTAAAATTTGATCAAAATATAATGTACTTTAGCC